CTCGGCCGGCCCTCTAATGTTCTTTCTGTTCCAGAACCCAATCCAGGAGATCACATTGCATTTAGTTGTCACATCTCCTTAGTCTCTTCCCATTGTGACAGTCCCTCCACCCCGTCATTTTCTTTCATGGCCTTGAGACTTTTGAAGGGTAATAATGGCCAGTTATTTTTATGAATGTCCCTTGATTTGGGTTCCTCTGAGTTTTTCTGATGATTAGAATTATGTTATGGATGTGGGGAAGAACAACACAGAGGCGCTACTCCCTTCCCGTTGTGTCATGTTGGAGGTATATGCTGTCACTGTGTCCTATTAATGATGATGTGAATCTTCATTGCTTGGCCAAGGTGGTGTCTGCTGGGCTTCTTGTATAAAGTTACTATTCTTCCCTTTCCATGTTCTCATTATGAGCAAGTCCCTGATCACACTCGGGGGAGGAGAGTTAAGCTCCACCTGAAGAAATGAGTATCAGAGAATTTGGAGGCATTCGTTAAAACCACCACAGTAATTACTATTTTAGGGGTGATATGTCAAGGCTATCCAAATGTTCTGTTTTTCCTTGAATTTTGCCCACTAATTTCAGAATTCATCAGGGGATTTTACTTACAGCAGTTATTACTGTGGTGTACTAAGGGTGATTTTCTATTTCCCTCTATCTGTCTACTTTTACTATTTGGAATTCTTTTGTAAGGAAGATATTGACCCCTTCCCTCATTTATTTATTCACTGATTTCTTTATATCAGTATGGATGCATAGATATTTAAAATTTTTTTTAAGATTTTTATTGGGGAATTGGGGGGATGGGAACAGTGCTGGGAAATCGGGGGACAGGGAACAGACAAGTTGCTGTCATTTTTGTTCTTCAGTCTAGTTGTGGAGGACGTTGCTTCACTGGCCCATGTTGGCACTATCATTGCGCTCTTCCCGGGCGAGGCAGATCAGTCGCTGGCTTCTGGACGGCCGCTCACTGCGGCTGCTGGCCGCTCACACTGGCTGCTGGCTACTCACACTGGCTGCTGGCTACATACGGTAGCCCATGGCAACCCACTGCAGCAGTGGCTGCAGCCTACGCCGTTGCCGGTGACTCATAGCCCAGCTCCAGGTTGAGCTGTTGTTCAGCATCTTAGCTGTAGAGGGCAGTGTCACTGGCCCTCATATGTGGGATCCGAACCGGGGCCCTCTGGCTTCTCAAGCCAGTTCTTAACCATCGCGCCACTCGGCCGGCCCTTGGTTTTTAATAGTACTGTTATTGACTTTATTGCTAATATTGTTCATCAGTTGTGTATTTGTGCGGGAGAGAGAGAGATAGAAACCTGCAAACCTGCTCTAAAATGTGTGTACTGTGAAGGGCCAAGGTATGCCTGAAGGAAAAGAACAAAGTGGGGAATTTATTTACCAACAACCAAGATTTACGTTAAAGCCGCAGGGATTAATGCAGTGTGGCCTTAGCAGCGAGGCAGACAAATGGGCCAAAGGAACAGAATAAAGAACCCGAGCAGATCTCCATATGTATCAGCACTTGATTTATGATATTCCAGTGAAGACAGCTTATCTTTCCAATATGCCGTAATGGGGCTTTTGGATAACCATCTGAAAACTGATCCAGAACCCCTACTTCACAACACACACACAAATTAATTAGACTAAAGTATGAAAAATAAAAATAAATCTTCCTAAAGATAGCATACCTCCCTAACTTTGGGGATAGGCAAAGACTTTTTTAAACAAGACACACAAAATACCAACCATAAAGGAAAACATTGAAAAATTTGGATTACATTAACATTTAGAATGCCTATTCTGATTAAAGATATCAATGCAAGAATGAAAAGACAGGCCACTGACTGGGAGAACATATCTGCCATGCATGTATCTGGCAAAGGATTACCCACAATATATGAATACCTACAAATCAGTAAAAAAATGACCACACTCTAAAAAAATGGGAAGAAGTCTTAAACACGCACTTCACAAAAGAAGACATGCAAATAGCCAGTAAGCTCATGAAAATTATTTAACTGCATTGGTATCATGAAAATGCAAGTTAAAAGCATAAAACCAGTTCACCTCTATCAGGATGGCCAAAATGAAATACTTGTATGGTTTCTTTCTTTCTTTTTTTTTTTAAGATTTTTTATTGAGGAATTGGGGAAGGGGAACAGCCAAGTTGTTGTACCTCAATCTTAGTGGAGGGCGCAGCTAGCTCAGCTCCAAGTCCAGTTGTCATCCGGCCACCTTTCGGCAGCTCGCGGCCGCTCAGCTCAAGGTGTCGTGTTCAAAGTTACTTGCAGATGGGTATAGCCCACCATGTCATGCGGGAGTCAAACCAGAAACTGTTGCTGAGAGTGCATGCTCTAACCACTGGGCCATTGGGCCTCCCATTGGCAGCTCAGTCAAGGTGCTGTGTTCAATCTTAGTTACGAGTGGGTGTAGCCTACCATCCCATGTGGGAGTCAAACCCACAACCTTATTAGGAGCACATGCTCTCACCAGCTTAGCCATCCTGCCACCTATTGGCAGCTCAGCGGCAGCTCAGCTTGTGTGCAGCTCACTGGCCCATGTGGGAATTGAACCTGCGACCCGGTTGCTCAGAGCTTGTGCTCTTAACCAACTGAGCCACTTGGCCGACCATGTAGGATTATGCCTGTTTTTCTCTAATTTATTTGGAATGTAGGAATGGATCCAGTTGTATCTGTTCGTCAGATTTCTCTATTGTACTTTGTTTTATATTTCAGCAATCATTACTTGTCAGGTTCATTAAACTTCATCACTACATTCTAAACAATGATTTAAACTTAACTTTTACTAGTGTTATTATTACTCTTTCTTAAATCCGATGTCTTCCCTTTAAAATATCTTTATTTGTCTTTACATTTGAACAGTTTGTCTGTAGATGGAAATCTAGTTTCATAACCCTTCCCCGCTGTGTTCTGGGAAATATGCTAAGCACTCACATGCATTTGTTTACCTCCCATATTGCTCAAGGTAAATGCCATCTCTTTGCTGTGACCTGTAACACCTTTATCATGCAAGCCACATATGTAGTTTAAATTTTCCGGTAGCCAGAGTGTAGAACTAAAAAGAAACAGGTGAAACCAATTTTAATAATGTGGTTTGGTTAACCCAATATATTAAAAATATTATCATTTAAACATACAATCAATATAAAAATTATTAATGAAATATTTTATGTGCTTTTGTTCCACTAAATCTTCAAAATCCAGTGTATATGTTACACTTACTGCATTCTCATGTCAGAACTACATTTCAAGTTCTTAATTGCCACATGTGGCTCATGGCTGCCATGTTGGATGGCACAGCCCTATCCAATCTAGTCTCCATTTGTCCTCTTTGACATCTTTTTTACCCTTTGTTCCCCTTCAACCACACTGGTCTCCCTGCTAGTCCTAAACATATCAAACAAATCTGCAAGGGCCTTTGTCCCAGCTGTGTACTCTGCCAGGACCATCCTCCCGGGATGTGCCTGTGGCTTACCACTCACCCACTAGGTCTCTAGTCAAACATCACCTCAATGCGGAAGTCTTCTGAAATCCTATATAAAACACTGCTCAACCTGATGGCACTCCCCATCAGAGGCACCTTGACATACTGTATATTTATCTATTAATTGCCTCTCTCTTCTACCAGAACACAAGTTGCGTGAAAGCAGGGAGCACGTCTGCTATGGTTGCTGCTGCATTCCCCATGCCCAGAGTCAGTGTCTAGCAGGATGGAGTTTTGTTAGTGATTCTACACACCAGCTCCGTGGAGTAGGTTCTGTCACTCTGCCTTTACAGACGGGCACAGTGAGACGCTGAGAGTCAGTAAGATGACAGATGGGTGACTTACCTGTGGTCATGCAGCTTGCAGGTTGCAGTTAGGGCTTGAACCTGGGTCCTTCTGAACCAAAACATGAAGTTTTAACCAGCTTATCCAAAGACTTGCCTCAGAGTGGAGTCTGGGTCTCTGAGCACAGTT